GATTCGTAAATTCAAAACACAATTCATAAATACACAAGTAAAAGCATAAATATTTCCCCAAATGCTCACACAAAAGCATCTTACCTAAATACATTTAAAATGTTTAGACAAATATGTACATATCAAGTTCTTGAATTAATTTCCATCACACATTTATGAATGATGTTACATGTATTTATGGATCGTTGAATCTGCATTTGCAAATTGTCACATGTGCGTGGACTGCTTTGAATTTGTGTGTGGTATTTTTGAGACCTTCCTTGCAGGTTAAGATTCTTAAATATCTTTTTTGGAGGATGTTCCGTTCAGCCAATCATGGTGAACTTTTAATCCACCAATCAAAACACTCTTTACTGAACAGACTCAAGAAGCTCAACGCTGTGCTTGTACTGTGCATTGTTCCATGATCGGGTCCTTGATGTAAAGACATTTTACATTTTTTAATGCCATCAGATAAAAAAACGACTTTACTCACTCGTTAAGTGTGGTTTTCATCCTCCATGCTGAAATCTCTTCGCTTGTGTGTGTTCGAAATCTCCCTTAGGTGGTTATAGCTGTTTTTAATGCCCGATCAAAAGTTACTGCGAATCTGATACTACTACTACTAACAACAGAACACATTACATAATTGTTGTTATTAAATGAAATATCTGGACATTTAACACTTATTTAATAACATTACAAATTGATCTGAATAAACAGGGTATGTGCAACTTTGGTGTATAAGACAGCAGGTTAACCGGGTAGCTGTATTTTGTGTGAACGATATAAATCATAATGTGATTAGGTAGAAATTGTAATCAGGTGCTAAAAAAAGAATACACATTAACAGTGTTGGGCAGTAACGCATTACTTTAATTTGATTACTTTTTTAGTAACGGAGTAATTTAATGCATTATAATTTTCAAAATAGTAATTAGAGTATAGTTACAAGCCGAGGTCTCTATACGTTACTGACGCGTTACATTGCTGACAGAATGCAGTGTTTTATAATGTAGAGATTGTAAAAAGGATGTAGCACACGCACTGTCGAGTCAAGTGCCAGTGGATTAAAGACCTGCACCCACAAGACCCGACACAACAGAGCGCGGCGCGGGACAAGACTTGATAGGTGAGTGCAGAGACTCGTGTGTGTGCGGGATGCGGGAGAATAAAATGATTTGGATTAAAAGCTCACCGTGACTGGCTGAACGGAACATCCTCCAAAAAAAGATATTTATGAATCTTAACCTGCCAGGAAGGTCTCAAAAATACCGCACACAAATTCAAAGCAGTCCACGCACATGTGACGATTTGCAAATGCAGATTCAACGATCCATAAATACATGTAACATCATTCATAAATGTGTGATGGAAATTAATTCAAGAACTTGATATATACATATTTGTCTAAACATTTAAATGTATTTAGGTAAGATGCTTTTGTGTGAGCATTTGGGGAAATATTTATGCTTTTACTTGTGTATTTATGAATTGTGTTTTGAATTTACGAATCGGATTTTGTAAATGTAAATTGTGCTGTGCGTTTATGAATTTTGTTTTGCAAATGTATTATTTTTGAGGCTGATCTGGCTCCATATTTAGAAACTATATCATTATTCACATTATTTATAATGTGATATAAGTGTCAGTGACAAATAGGAATGGCAGACAAATCGAATTATTTGACAAATCTTTTATAAATCGTATTGTTCCAAATGTAGGCCTAGTATTTGTGTTCATGTTGGTTTCATACATTTAAAAAAAAAATCTGTAACAGAACATTTTGATTTAATGACTCTTAAAATGTAAAGTGATTAAATAAATCATAAAGTAATAAAATGTGTTCCATTCACCTTAAACACGTTTGTCTCACCTCCCCCCCCCCAATAAATAAATACATACATACAAACAAAAATCATGAATATCGGGCTAATACATTTGCCCTAAACCTTTCACAAAAATGAACATTAACATTAAAAATGTAAAATAAATTAAAATAAAATTATTTTGAAAACAAAAAAGGAGTCTTCAACGGTCTTTTCTGTGATATATATTTTTTTGTTTTATTCCTTTATTGGAAAGAATCACCCAAAATATATATTGCTAGAAATAAAATAAAATAAAATTAAATAAAATCTAACAAAATAATAAAAATAATAAATATTGTAAACTATTTTATACTGCTTCCTTGGGTCTGTAAGGATAAAAACCCTGGTCTAGAGAAAAGATTATGTTGATGAATGCCTTTAACGTGATCTGCACTCGTCAGACGTGCATTATATAACTTGTGAGAGTGTGTCTAGGCAGATCAGAAAAGTACGACGCAACATTTTCACGCTGCAGTGCGTTCTTCATAGCCTGACCGCTACATAAGGACACCCGAGTTCTCAACTTTGTCCCACGGTGTGATAAGCAGACAGCGGAGGCGTGGTCTCTGACGTCACTCGGGCTGAACCGTACTACAGCACTAGTCTGGCTGGATGTCTGACTCAGCCACGCAGGTTATTTGGGAATATATTTTAAACGCATGTTTTAACTAAACAGACCATATAATGCTCGCTCGTTCCTCTTGCTTTGGACAACGCGCATCTTGTATTTTGGGCGGTTTGGGGAAGTGCGACAGGAGGTAAGTTATAGTAAGCAATATCACGCGAGTCGAGTTTCTGCACGCTGTACACAAGTTGGCACTGTCCCAGTCACGCGCTGTAAGTCAGACATGTAGTCTACATGTCATTTTGCATTGAATTGCTCAGCGGCTGATTAACACCGGTGATGTGATGCTATGCATTCAGTACAATGCTTTTGCATATTAGCTACAATCCAATAATGCAGGCGTTATTATTTTATTGAAATGCAAAAGTTGCTCTTTTAATGCAAGGATTATAATTTCAAGTTGATTTGAGTTAGAATTTGTGAAACTAACTGTAAAATGAATGCTTTCAGGTTTTAAGGTCTTTATCAAGAAGATGAACAAGGCTCTTGCTCTGGCATTTGATCAATAGACTGGCAATGTCTATGTTAATATCTTTCTGACCACACCTGTTAATGGACTGAGAGGTTACTTCAATAAAAGTTTAATTTCTATATGTGGACTAGTGCCAACGCTGCAGAAAAGCCCATCGTCCCGATTCCAGGTCACTGTGTCCCCGAATTTGTGCTACCACTGTCCTGCACCCTCGCCCGTCTGTTCATCCCTTGCTTTATGGGGCTGTTTTTGCTTTCTCTGACCCTGTTTTGTATCTTGCCACAGATTGCTAGAATTCGCTTCAAATAAATTTGTACTTTTTATGTATGGATCAAATCTAGGTCTGCGCAATAACGGCCTCTGCCCAACATACGGTACTGTTGGAGTTTTAACCCTTGCAAGAAACACAGCTAATTGTCAGTAAGCTCTCAGGATTTAACCCAAGGACTTTCCAAGTGAGTTCGCACTCAGGATTTAAACCAATAACTTATATCCAGGTCAGTTTTAAACAAGCATCAAACATCCCAGAGCTCATGTAAAGAACAAATCATGAGCTCTGACAGTTTCCAGTACCGTGCACTGTTCGAGTACAAGCAGGAGAGGGGTGACGATATCTCCCTGCAGCCTGGAGATCTCCTCACAATCAGTAAGATGGCACTGCTGACATCCGATTACCAGGAGGGTGATGAGAAGTGCCCAAAAGGCTGGCTGCATGGCACCAATGAACGCACAAAGGAGAAGGGCAACTTCCCCGGCACCTTTGTGGAGTATGTTGGGGTCTTGAGGACGGGCCTTACTTCAGGGAAGCCCTGGCCGAGACCTGTACCACCAACACCTGTAGGGCCCCAGCCCCCAGGGGCCGCTGCTTCAGAGGGTGAGTGTTACCATTATGCTTATTTAACATGTTTTATATAACAATAAATAAATAAATATACAATGATATAAAATTATAAATATAAATTAATAAAACGTATATGTACTTATATAATTGTAAATTGTACTTAAAAAAATTTATATATATATATATATATATAATAATTTATCATCATGATATGTACTGTATCTATCATAATAGAATGAAAAATATTACCACATCTCTATGGCATCCATAATCTTATACCCTCAATCTTCAGAGCAGGATGGCTAATTATCTCCTCCCCACATTTGGATTAGGCAGCACAACCCTGTAATAAAACGCTTCACTTGAAATTTGAGGACATTGTGTGCAAATCACAGACTTCAGCTCCCAGTAGTAACATTACTTCCAGTGCTGAAAATAGGGATCTGTCAAGGATTTGTGAATGTCTTTGAGAAAGATATAAGAAATAAGTACTTGCATAAATGGCAATTTTCATTAAAAAAATTCAAAATGTTGTGTTAAGCTCTTTATGAGGCCTGCGTTGCCCCTGTGTTTCTGACTGTGGTACAGTCTGCTTGTGGGGGTGTTCATATGCTAACTAGGTCAGACAGCCAAATCTGGTTGTTCCAAGAGGGCTCTTCTCTCTTACTGTCTAGGGCACATGTCTCTTTTATGGTGAAGGTTTAGGTTGTATTTATACTATTTATGTGTTTTATACACTGTAGATCCTCTTTTAGTGGCTTACTGAGTTTGTGTCTTTTGTTTCAGCCAAGGCACAGAGATGGTGATAAACAGCATAGCAAAGCCATTCCTTAGTGTCAGGAGAGGCAAAAACATGCAGTTCTGTTGAATAATTGATCACTGGTGCATTGGATGGCTGACAGTCAGCCAATCATTAGACTCCCCCTGTACCAAGAGATTCTTGTGGAACACTGACGAAACACTTACGCTGATTATAGAGAGTTTTATGAGCCTAGCAAATTGTCAAGTTTACAGAATTTATCAAATGGGTCATTTTTTTATTATTATTATAATTTTTTTTAATCAGGCATTACAGAATGGAAGCTTTTGGAACAGTGAAAATGGAACAACAGTCCAGAACTGTGCCAAAGACTTTGAACTTCGTACACTGATGTATTATTTGTATATAAGACACATTTTCATATCTTCAGAGTTTGGAAGTGTGGTTGATCTACTTACAGAGTCTAGTTATACAAAATAAAATGTTAAGCATTGAACATTATTTAGGACTCTGCAATGGATATGGGCAACTGGACCCCTCCCCATGGCCTCTGCTTTGAATGATAATATTAAATAATATTTAAATAATGAATATTATGAATGCATTTAACATTTAAAATGATTTTACATTTAAAACAGACCAAATCTAGCATGAATTTCAGTTCCCAACACTGCAATCCATTCTCTTCAGTTTTCAATTTAAATTTGTATTATTTTAATTGATGTGAATTTTCCAAAAATGAAAACACAATTTTTTTTAAATTAATTTTTAAATTAATTTTTAATTTATTTATTATTATTTTATTTTATTTTATTTTATTTTATTTTATTTTATTTTATTTTATTTTTTTTTGCTCAATCTTTTTAAAGTTTAAATCATTTATTGGTCAAACATCTTTTCACTATACAGATTTGCTGGTTAGTGTTCACCCAGATGGAACCTTTGGATGAAATGACATATACAAAGTCTGTATACTGTATGTGTGTGTGTGTGTGTGTGTTTTTTTATCTGCTATGTTCCCATTATTGGATTGTGCTTAACCCATCTGAAAGTATTCTAGTTGTTTTAAGATGCATTACGTGGCTCTGCGTTGGCCTGTTGTACTGCGATTGTGTTAGACAGATATGTCTTAGACAAATGAGACCTTAAACTCAGCCAAGAAGACCCACGTAAGATTGCATTCTTCCTCTGTGAGTATGGGAGTAGCAGTATCCCTGAGTTAAGGGCTAAACCACATGCAGTATAAATATCTAGTATAAATACCTAGTTCAGTCATGACACTCTATGATGCAGGCAAATGGGCCTTTAAAGGGTCATGAAACCCCAGACTACTTTTTCTGAGATTTTAGCAGAGACAATGTTAGCATCCGATAATTTTAACTGTTGGAGAAAACTGGTTAATTTTAAGCTTTTTTACACTATTTTCATCTTCCAGGTTTAAAATCTACATTGTGTTGACGTCACAATTTGTGACGTGGCAATGGACTAATAGTACATCAATGACGCGTCGGTGTGTATTAAATTATTCATGAGACTGTGTGTTCTTATCCTATGAGAAGACACTTCACTTAATTATTCACAACAGCATGTGTTGATTTGCTATGACTTTCTGACTTCTGACTTTCTGAGATGACATCGCGCACAATAACTGAGAGAAACGTTCTTGGATCAAAGAAGAGGGTTTGTTTTTGCTTTCTAATAAGAGTTCGGCACAAACGCGATTCATTCACTTGGTGAGCATAACCGTTTTTACAGCTCTGTGACACAACTAGGGCTGAACGATTTTGGAAAATAATCTAATTGCGATTTTTTTGTTTACCAATATTGCGATTGCGATTTAATATGCAATTATTTTTTTAAAGCTCTTTATGTTCTGTATTATTCAACAAAGACAAGCTATAAATCACTGTATAGTATGACCAACACACTATTAGATAGATTAAACATACATTTTCTTTTCTGTAGGCCAGGCCTATTTGTTACGATGAAATTAGGTGATGCATGAATTGATATGAATGACATTTTAATTTAACAACTACAATCACAGTATATTGACTGATTTGTTGAACTTCCAACCTTGTAAGCATGTAATAATTATGTTTAAATAGCTTGGTGTAAACACTAATATGAAAGTCAGTAACAAATCACACAAACTAAAGTAGATTGCAGAAATATAAAAACAAATCTGTTGCTTTACCACACTACTTTAGGTAATTCACAGTCACTGTAATAAACAAATGCACTGCACTTTTTAAACACTGTCTGTTAACTTTAGACCAGTGGTTCTCAAACTTTTTTGGTTGCGCCCCCCTCAGACTACCAAATAATTTCACTAAACATTATGAAAGATTAATGTTTTTTTAATTTAAAGGGAAAAAACACCTGCATCACTTGAAACATTGAAAAATAGCATAGAGAGAATAACTTATTATTATTCTCTCTCTGCTATGTATTTATTTTTTGTGGGTTTCTTGCTCTCCGCTAAGGCATAGGACACACAGGCTTTCCTCTTCACCAACACACCGTGTCTACACCGGATGCGAGCGGCAAAATACAGTAGAACCATTATAATCCGTGACACTGTCTACACTGGATGCAGCGCGGCGCGACAAAATCCGACATTAAACTGATACCTTGTTCTTTTTATGACGTTCTGACACAAAGTTAAAATGATTTGCATCGGTCGCTTTGTCGCGTCCAGTGTAGAGCTGTTGTGGCGCGACGCACAACTGTAGCATCTGGTATAGATACGGTGAGTGAAGCAGAGAGCAAGATATGCCTCATCATATTTTCTGTATTTAGCTTTTGAATGACCAGCACCTGCCTGGGTCTGTGCGACTTCATCTATGGCTTTTCTCTTCGCTTTCACAAACCGATCCATCTCCCATTCTAAGTTACGTCCTTTGGCTGTTTACTTATTTATTTTCTTTTTCTGCTGATGGCCCACGCTCGACTTGAAGCAGCGCTGCTTAGCTGCTGGGTGTGTGTCATCAAAGTACTGAGAGAGCTATAAGAGAGTGCGGACGTCTCCTTATGCTTTCTCTCGCTCGCCATACTTTGATGTCATACACCGATCTGATCTTCAAGTCGAACATACCTCTTTACTCTCGCGTGTCACGTGACCGTGTAATCGCAGCCTCTGCGATTGAAAAATCGAAAATTTTTATATCGCGATATTATCGCAAATGCAATTAATCGTTCAGCCCTAGACACAACCCGTCAAAAGGCATGTATAAACGCCACAGAATAAGCCTTAAAAGTTCTCAGAGGTGCAACAGCGCGTCCATATATAGCCTATGTGTTCGATACAGAGTGCAAATGGCTGTGCATTTATTTGTGTTTTTAACTCGATGGGAGCGAAATGAAACTGTCAGAATGCTAAGCTGTGTGTGTGTTATCTGTCTCCCCTATTCCCCCTCCTCCGCTCCGCTGCGCACCACGCCCACTCTTTTAGCATTTTTTAAACTGTGGTGAGAACTAACCAGTGCTGAAACTGGGGTTTCATGACCCTTTAATGCAATTTACTAGCTGTCACATCATCACTTCATGGCTCAAGCTGATTGGTCTCCGTTTCATTTTCAGCCAGTGAGCTTTCTTGCTTAACATTTAAATAGTTTGATTCTGTGTTTGCTGTAATAAAGTCTTGCAAAACCCTCAGAAATTAAACTGTCAGAATGCTAAGCTGTGTGTGTGTTGTCTGTCTCCCCTATTCCCCCTCCTCCGCTCCGCTGCGCATCACGCCCACTCTTTTAGCATTTTTTTAAACTGTGGTGAGAACTAACCAGTGCTGAAACTGGGGTTTCATGACCCTTTAATGCAATTTACTAGCTGTCACATCATCACTTCATGGCTCAAGCTGATTGGTCTCCGTTTCATTTTCAGCCAGTGAGCTTTCTTGCTTAACATTTAAATAGTTTGATTCTGTGTTTGCTGTAATAAAGTCTTGCAAAACCCTCAGCCTCCCCCAGTTCCACCCTATAGTTCTGCTCTGGGTAATTTCATGTATGCTATTTGTGCAGTAACAGTACATGCTCACAGCAGCTTGTCTGTGGATTCATTAGCAGTAGTAAGTGTCTGTAATGCTCTGTAAAGTCTCTGAATAAAAGTACTACTAAAAAAAAGAAGATTTGACTTCAGACTAAGAAGTATTCCTAAACATTAGTTTTTTTATTTATTTATTTATACATAACTGAATGGATTGTTGGAAAGTTGGCAAAAATGATTGTTCCCATCTGTCTCTAGGACTTTAAAGAGTAATTTTGATCCATATAAC